CGGTCTTGAATACTCGTTCCAAATGCTCCGGTATCACCTATACCGATACCGAGCCCTTAATCACCGGTTCGATTGCTCTAACCGGCCCTGGGCTATAGAATCTGGTCGTGCTTCTCCAATGTTCGTGATTGCTCCAAAATATCTCGGGAAAATACTCCAAAAGCATAAATCCCTGCAAAAGTCAACCAAATCTACGAAAACACTAGAAAACACCAATTAGTAATAAAAGTGGCTCTAAAGAGCCAAAAACACTACTAATTATGACCAAGGGACGGGGGTAAAATACTATATAAAAACACCTAGCATAGTTCGAAGTTGCCTTCGCTCTAGACGTGAAAGGTTTAATTTTTGAGGGTTTGATCCCAAATCTCTATTTCAATTATTTAATTTAATTGTTTTGTTTTTTATTTTCCTTGAAGTTACTAACGTGTGTATTTTGTTATTAGAAAGAGATACGAGACATCCAAATAAGTGCTTTAATTGTTTGCATTGCTATTATGATATAGAAATCATGTCTAGGTTCCTATTTTGATTCCTAGTATCATGTTAGGATGCTTGATGTTTTGAATGACAACAATGATTTCTACTACTACCTCCGGTCCAAATTACTCGCAACTTTGGAATATTTTATATCTCACAAATAATACCCCAAAGTTGCGAGTAATTTGGACCGGAGGTAGTATTATGTTTAGGGAAAAGGTTGTAATATCAAATATGCTTATGATTCCTGCGATGCCTTTTATTGTCTTTCTTAATATTCATGTTAGTATCATGTTAGGGCTATATATTTGATCTTTGATTGTAATACCCTAAAATTTTCTACTTTAAGTTTCGGGACGAAACTTGTTTTAAGGAGGGTAGATTGTAATACCCTAAAATTTTCTATTTTAAGTTTCGGGGACGAAACTTGTTTTAAGGAGGGTAGATTGTAATACCCGAATATTTTATGATTTTTTATAATATATTTTATAAAAATATAGTTTATTTTTATTTATTACCTAACTTTTCTAGTCTCATATTTTTTTAGAGTTTTAAAACCCTATCTTGTTTAAATAGCACTGTACAATTCAAAATGTACATAAACTATTTTAAACCCTAAAAATATTCTTAATTCTCAAAAGATATTTTATTTAAAAAAAATAAAAAAAAAAATCCGTACGAATCTCTTTTGTGCTGATGACTTCCATGATCCAACCCCAAAACTTGATTTTCATTAAAGTCTTTCTTTCATTATTATTCTCCAATCTCCATACAATATTTAATTCTCCAAACTCATTGGATTTGCAAAATCAAAGCCCACAAATTTCAACGTCAGTGCACATATTTTGTCTTGAATGTTGTGGTTCGATTGTAACTAATTGAAAGGTAATCACACTATCAACCCTTAGATCGTTTGTTTATAATTTGATTGTATTATTTATTTTATGTAATCACACGATTTATCATCTTGGAATTGTTTGATTAATTTGTTTACATTGAGCTTACTCTATATTATTATATGTAAATTTTATGATTCGTTGTTATTTGTATGATCAAGATGTATTACTAATTAGTGTTTTGTATTATACGAAGTATGATTTAAGTGTCTTATTATTTGATTGTGTTATTATGTTAGGTTTTTATTGTTGTTTCTATAGGGAGTATTGTTTTATCGAGGTTTTAAGATTGTTAATGCAGAGTGTTATTTTTGGGTTGAGATTTGATTATATTTGGGTTATTAGTATTATTTTCCTAAGAGTTGAGATACTTATGAATCGAATTATTATGTCATTTGGGAACATGTGCCATTGTTGAGATTGTTTATGAATAATTATTTGATCAATGTATGAGATTAAAAGATTGAGAATTATTATTTTGTTCTTGGTTTGAGGCTCGGCGTTATATAACTTAGTCCTTAACTTGTTGGTAAAAGGGTAATAATCATGAGTTAAGAATGAGGTACAATCTTTATTATTTATTTTTCTATGGTCCCCTACAGTGGGAATTGACCCGTATGTGGTCTAGTTCAAAGTGTTTTCTAGTTATTGGGAGTATTCAAGTTTTTATACTTGTTGGTTTTATTCGAATTACTCATGTCCAAGACTAGGTATAAAACAACGAGCATGACACACTTATGAGTTATATGAGTTGATTGAATAAAGGTTTGTATTCTTATTCGAGGTTGAGTTGATAAAGGTCATTTTCATAGTACAATGTGTAATGTAGTTTTGAACTACATTGTTTAATTGAGCTAGTAGTGTTAATTATTCTATTATTCTTTGTGTTATGATAAGTGGTGATTACTCAGCTTTTTGCTGACGTGTGTATTGTTTTGTTGTGCTATTTGTGTTTGCGGCCATGTCTTTTTCTTATGGTGGCCTTGTGAAGATCTATTTTGGAATTTGTCCTTAATGGTGAGCAGTCAAGATTGTTTGAGCAGGTTAATCAAGTGATTGTAGCTAAAGGAGCTCAAGTGATCGATTAGTATTTTTTATATCGAGTTTGAAAAGTTGTATAAATAGCTCACTTAGATTTGTTGGGTTGTAATTATTGGGATTTTTGTAAGCCTTAACACTTGACAAGTTGTCGAGTGTGGCGGTAATACCTCCGATTTAGGTGTATGCTTCCACAATTTTATTTAAAAGTTGTTTATTTTCCCTTTATTTATTGTTTATTAATAGCTAGTAAATCGGGGGTGTTACATTGATGCTTAGTGACATGTTAGGGTTTGTTATTAATCTTGTTAGTATCATGCCTAGGATCTTTCTATTATTATGCTTTAACATGATTATAATTATGATTATGATTATTTTTATAATTGTTATGATTATTATGAATATTATTGTTATGTTTCTTGATATTTATTGCTTGATCACACCTTTTATGCATGTTTAAAGGGAATTTGTACATGTAATCACGCTTAATAAGACAATTAATAATCTTGTTAGGGTTAATATGATTATAATTCAAGTGATCGCCAATAATAGATTTGTTTTTGCATTAATATTCAACCAACATAGATTAAACAGGTTTAGGGTTAAATCTATTGATTGCATGTTAGTCAGAAAGCGCACATGAATACGATTAGAATAAAGTATAGGTTTATTATTAGGGCAGGTTCAATCTCTTTTAGGTTGGATTTGTACCTTCATCCCCCAACTTCCAGTCATGGTTTCAGACCTATTGGAGTTAACGATATCTTGGATCGTTAAGGAGTGTAACCTTCACCCTGTGAACGGTTTATAAGTTCCTAAAACTTGTTGGCGACTCTTTTTCTCTAGCTTCCTTCCCTTTGGACGCCAGTTGCAAAACTCATCCAAAAGAAAATGCTACCCACTTCCCAACCGCCATATTTTGGCTTTCGATAAGTATATATATATATATATATATATATATATATATATATATATATATATATATATATATATATATATATATATATATATATATATATTAAAAAAGAGTCATTTTACTTCTCTCTCATTAATTTTTAAAAAAATTCTGCAATTAATTTCTCTGATTTTCTCTCACCAAACTTCATTCTCTCTCCTCTACATGATTTTACTTTACTAAAAACTGAAAAATCAATAATGGATATACAAGAAGAGATGCAAAATCAACATGATCATCCTAAGAAAAGGTAAATTTTCTCTGATTTTGTCCAAATTTATGTGAATTTTTATCTGAATTTTTCGAAACTCTGCTCTTCAAACATTTTCTGTTAATTAGTGAAATTTACTGTTCATATTCTTTATGCATCCACTAAGGAAAACAATTAATATGTTCATATTTTGAATGGTTATGTTCACTGTTTGAAATGCATGTGTTCATATGTCTATGTTCACTTGCTGAAAAGCATGCCTATGTTCATATATCTATTATGAAAAGCCTGTGTTCATATATTTTATGCCTATGTTCACTTTCTGAAAAAGTTTGTGTTCACTTTTAGGGAACCTAAGCATATGTTCATATTTTGCTTGATTTATGTTCACTTTCTAAAATGCATATGTTCATATTTTTTATGAATATGTTCATTTTCTTAAATTCTTATGTTCATATTTTGAATGCTTATGTAAACTTTCTAAAATGCTTTTGTAAACTTTCTGAAATGTATATGTTCACTTTTTGAAATCCATATGTTCATATTTTTTATGTATACGTTCACCTTCTGAAATGCTTGTGTTTATACGCATTCAAAAAATGAACCAATGCATATGTTCATGTTTTGAATACGTAAGTTCATTTACTAAAATGCATGTGTTCATATTTTAAATCAAAATTCATACACAGATCAAATTGATCAAAGCCAACAAAATGCAATTCATATGAATTCAAAAAATCGGATAAAACTTAATCAATCGAAATTAAGCACAAAATCACCACATAACAAATCGAAATTCATAAACAAAAATTATGAACAAAAAAAAATCATGAAGAACGAAATTTACACAAAATTCATACATAATAAATCGAAATTGATCAAAGCTAACCAAAAATCAAACAAAAAAAACAATTAAAACTAACATAAAAAAAATAAAAAAATAAAAACCTAATTACAAATCAACAAAACAAAACACTAATCTAGGGAATAACAACTAATTCCATGTTGTAAGATACAAATTCAATCAAAAAAGTGAAATAAAAGTGAAAATAATAAAAAAAAAAAAACAGGAGAGAGAAAATGAAGAACAAATTAAAGGAGAAGAAAAGAGAAGAAGAAAAGAGAAGAAGAAAATTATATTGAAGAATTTGATGATAATTTGGATCAAAATTATTACTCCTTCCGTTTTTTTTTAAATGCATCACTTCGATTTTTGCACTATTCACATACTATGGTTGACTTAATTTTTTTACGTCTATAAAATAAATAAATGTTATTATATAATACTTCATTCGTTCTTTTTTACTTGACCCGCTTTAATTTTTACACTTTGTGAATAATATGTAATGAAAAACATATTCATGTGATATATTTTTGAATTCGTCTCGATAAGTACTATCATAATATATGAACAGAAAAAAAATGATTTTGTTGGCACTTTTAGCACCGGTTAACCGGTGCCAAAATCATTGAATTAATTTTTTTGAGATTTTTTTGCACCGGTTAACCATTGGCAATTCCGACTTTTGCCACCGGTTTGAACCGGTGGCATTTAAAACCACTTATTAGCACCCCCCACATTGGCACCGGTTCAAACCGGTGGCATTAAGGGGTTTTGAACCGGTGCCAATTTTGTTTTTTCACCTAGTGTTGGTACTTATGCAACTATAGGTAGCTCATTGGAGATAGGCATATCAGTATAAGGTGCTGCAAGATCTGAACCCTCTTTTCTTGGCCTGCCCTTCTGCTTCTTTTGAGGAGGTTCACCAACAGGTGGTTAGTCTTTGTTAGGGCACCTCCTTTTATTGTGCCCTTTCACTAAGCAGTGGCTGCAAGTCATCTCCATGCCTACCCTTGATAAATGCCCTGGTTTGGAAGGGATTTCTGCAAGATCCTTTATCCTGTTCTTTCTAGGCCTTCCTGGGCCAATCTTGATTGGGGGAGGTTCCACTGTGTAGTTCACCTTTGGCCAATGTCTCTCACCTTCACATGGTGGAATTGATCCTGTTCCAAAAATAGTAACTTAGTTAACATGATATGTATGATATGTGAATAAACATTATTAACTTAAAAACAAAACAAACACATCACCTGCATAAGCTTTAAAATAAACCTCCCTCCAATAGCAGCTGCCAACATAATCTTCAGCATCTTGGTGCAAGAAGAAAATACAGGCAATGGCATGACAACATGGTATTTCAACCATGTCCCACTTTCTACATGTACGTACATGTCTTAGCCTCCAAATTAACAACCAGTTGGTCATAAATAGTGGCTGACAATAAAAAGAGTCTCTGTGGAAGAGCTGACATCACACATAGCTGCTTTCTCATTATTTTTCTCAAGCCTTATTTGAATCTTAGGGCAAAGATTTGAGGTGCACTTCTGCATTTCAAGCCTTTTTTGCAGAAGTCTTTGCATCAGAGCACACCTAATGTCTTCAAGCATGTATATCAGATGCTTTGTTCTAGGATTGATTATGTAACCATTGAAGGTCTCAGCCATGTTTGATGTAATTGCATCTGACTTGACAGAGCAATCCAAAAAATCCTTGCAGAAGAGCTTTGGGTTATAAGCTTTGAATGCCACTGCTGCATATGGATCCAACTTGTTCAAATCCTCAATATCATCATTATAATCAGCTAAGTTGTAACACTTAGCAATTTTCCAAAAATGAAGCTTCATTTCATCCTCCCTAAATGATTTAGGCCAATGTGCAAACACATGCCTACCACAGTGTCTATGTTCTGCCTTTGGCAAGACACTCTTCACAGCATTCAAAATACCCTACAAATATCAATTCAGAAGATTGTGAATAAATTCACAACCTATCTAAACAATCAAACCTATAACCATGAACACATTAATAACTATGAATAAATTCAGAAGATTGTGACTCACCATGTGTTCATCTGATATAATGCACACACCCTGACCTTCATCAAGCTCCAAGCAGTCTTTGAGATGTAGAAAGAACCACTCCCATGACAAATTGTTCTCACCCTCAGCTACTGCCCATGCTATTGGATATATCTGGTCATTTCCATCCCTCCCCATTACTGATAATAACTGCCCTCCCAAGAAAGTTTTCAGAAAAAAAAACATCAACACAAATGACCTTCCTGGATCCCTCTTTCCATCCCTTTTTCAGCCCCTCAAAGCAAGTAAAAAGCCTTTGAAATACAGTTGGAGAAGGTTGTTGTACAAAATTGTTTAATGTTGTGACAATTACCAGCTCAAAGGTGCCACCATGACTGATATTCCTCGTTGCAGCTATGTATCCTCCTACCTTTTACTAATGCTCATGCATTGAACCATGGAGCATTTTATGAGCAACATACTTAACCTTGTATGCAAATCCCCTTTTCACAACAATCTTGAATGCCCTCTTCAAAATTTCTATTATTTCTTTTGCTGGCAGTGAGGTTTGCTTTTGAAAACCTCAAGAAACTGTCTTGCTACCCAACCTGACTTGAGTTGTTTGTTTTTTTTCATGTTCTTACAGCAACTATGTTCTGTTTTCACCCTCCTAACAACAAAGGTTGCTCTCCTTGAATCCCAAGACCCATACAGGAAAAAACTACACCCCTGTACACATCTAACACTTAATCTTTGTTGTCTGTGTATATCACTAATTTCAACACTCACATCCCTACCTTGTCAAATACCATACCAAGCTACAACATCCCTAAAAGCAACCCTTGAAGAGAATCTTTGCCCAACCTTCCAATTAAAGACACTGAAATCTGTATCTGCACTTATAAGACCACCTGACCTCTTCCTCCTCTCAGATTTACTTTCTTCTTCGTCTCCACTGTTGTTTGGAGTTAGCATATCATCCTCACTGTCATCATATTCACTCTCATACCCCTGTTCAGTAGATTGATCTTCTTTTTCCACATGTGGTTTTTCCCTGTAGCTTTGTCCCATGATTCAATCCCTAACCTCCCTGCAGCTGCCTCTAACTGAAGTTGACTTGCTAGCTCTATTAACCTGGAAGAGCAAGATCTAACTCTCTCCTTTGTTGTTTGTACCCTTCATCACTCAGGTCAGTCTCATCCCCACATGATTCATCATTTACACCCTCATTCAAATGTTCATCACCACTTAAATTAAGCTCATCTTCCAGATCTAGGCTGCAGTCATCACTATCATCAAACTCATCCTCAACACCAACAATTGTTGTACCGTTATCTATCTCTGGGTTGTAATTTGGATCTTTTTCTTCCCCACTGCTCTCATACCCCCCCCCCCCCCACAAGCTCATCCCACTTTAAAGGAATATCTGCTCTATTATCTAACCATAAATCATCATCATCTGTTGGAAGGTTAAGTATCAGTTCAGATGTTGGGAAGGAATGGGTTAGTTAAGAGGAGTCCTGGTAGAATGTGGATACAGGAAGTAGTGGTTGCTTTGGTTGTATCTGCTTTCTCTTGGATTTGGTGTTAGGTTGGACACTTTTATCTACACTAGTTAAGGAAGGAGTCAAACTTTGTGAGGCATCTTTCTAGTTGGAAGCATCTTTTATCATTAAAGTTTTAAGTAGGACCCTCCTTATTGTTAGTTTTTGTGCCATGTCTTCCTTTATCAAAGGTTGACAGATTATCTGTTGTTGTGAGGGTTCATTGAAGTCTTAACACTGGCAGTTTTACCCCTTCTATCACATACACCTCAATACCCCTATACTTGAATACTAACTCACGCAATTCATTCACCTCATAGTCAGAGTATACCTTCCTTAACCCTTGACTTAAGTTCTCTCCAGGTACTAAGTAATGCACACTTTCTATTGTCTCATACCCTCAACATTGCTTAGCAAAATCTTCCAACCACCACCAACACAATTCATCAGGGCCAATGTTAAAGGTCCTTCCTATACCACCCTCATACACTAACATACCATTAGCATCACTTCTAAAAGTACCCCCATACCAGTACTTTAGAGCCACAGCAGCAAAAGGATCAGCCATCCTCTGACATTAAACATCAACAACCAAAAAACACATAAACATTCAGCCAATTACCAACAATAACAATAAATACACAAATGACAATTATACAGCCCTAATTACCCACCAATTTACATATTACCCACCAAAATCAATTACCATAAGCACATGTCAAAAAACCGCTAAAGCAGAGCCCTTTTTTAACAAAAATCCAAAATCAACCCAGATACACGCAATTAACCATAAAAGGAAAGAAATTTTGGGTAATCTAAGCACGTACCTATAAACGCAGACACTTTCTTCAAGGACCACACCAATTTGAGCACGCCTTCTTCGCTGATTTCACTAGGTACAGTAGCAAGTACGAATTTAGGTGGAGAGCAAACAGAGAGCAGTAAATATAAGGTGAGAGTGAAAAATGAATAAATGAAAGTGAAAGAGAGAGACTGACTGTAGTGAGGAAAGGAGGGAGCTTCGTATTGATGATGATGGTGACGTAGTTGGTTGGAAGAATTAAAGAACCTTCAATTCATTTTCGAGGGAAATCAACCGCCCAAAATGTCAACTAATCATGTGTTGACTTTCCCAGCCGGTTGCAGGTTAAAAAGGCTTGGTAAAAGATAATATGTACCAAACTTAGGATTATTCAGGGTTAATCCAAAGGTTAGATTATTCTGGGAGAATGAGTGAAAGGTTGGATTATTGGTGTGAAATTTTCCTAAGAATGGTATGTTTCTAAAGTCATAAAATATGAAATAACATTGAGTAGTTCTAAAATAACATGTTCAATAACAATAAATATCATGTTCAGTAACTGGAATAATATGCTTCTATTTTATGTTTTTATGTTATTTCGTTTGTTAACTTGTTATTTCATGAAATAAATTATACGTGCACTTTTTTTTAAGTTGGGTTTCCAGCCTATTTATTAGATTGGCCTGGAGTACAATACTAGGTACTCCAGAAATACATAATACTAATTGGCCCAGCACATTTTCAATAGTGAGTTTAATACATACTTTCCCTTTTGAGATGTTTTAATTAAATGTATGCATTTGTACTTTTTTTCTACTCCATGTGTTTTAGCAAACAAATTTTAACCATTTGACTCTATTGCGGCTTCATCCCAGTACTTTATTTATTTATTTTCATCTTCACCCACCTTTTTATCTGTGCCCGTGTGCCGTTTTCTTACACCTACTCACTTCTATAATTAAGAGTACATTAACTAGGTACAATTTTTTAAAAGAAACACTATTATAACAAAGATTAAGTGAGTAAAAACTCAATTGCCCGATTTGATGTAATATCACAGTATCACTCAAGGAATACAGTGAAATAATTCATCCAAACAGAATCTGATGTCATTAGCAAAAAAATTACTTGTGATTTCCATGATCATTACACAAGTTACTCGAGCAAGATAAGCACACCAAAAACAAGCTTATCTACGAGTATAGATTAACATTAGGCATCACCCAACACCCCACCTCCAGGAGAGCCAAAAATCTAAGCTAACAATCAGTTCAACCCATTCCCCACCCAACCCCACCTCCACCCACCCCTCTCTATCTCCCATTTGCTCAATCGAGAGAGGCCCACATTTCATGATTAACACGCCAAAAACCCTTTAAACATCCATGTATCAAAGCCTGACCACTATCATCAGAAGAGTAATGAGTTATAACCAGGAAGACAATAGCTGGCTGAGGATCTTTTCAGTTACACTATTATCAATCAGAGCACAAGCATTCACATCAACCCCAAATACAGTAGTGAGCAAAAATTTCCAATTGGGTACCTACTGATGTTGGAAAATCTGCCATCTGTCCAGCTTCCTAGTGCCCCAAAAAAGAAGCAAGAACTGGATCAAAAATCTGCATCTCTAGAAGACCTTGATAATCAACACCATCCCCTGCAGTTGCCGCACCTCCAGCTGTCACCCTGAGAGACATCTTCTAAAGGTGAGCATTGGCTGTGAATCTGTAAACCACATGTATGACAGGCAAGATCAGGAGCCGGTGTTGGTTGTGAGCAGATATTACAACTAACAGCTATTGCAGCTTCCATACATGTGGCTGGTACATGATCAATAACAGGCTCCATTTCATAATGCTCTGGGAATCCGCTCTGGGAATATTCACATTGCAAATCCTCCCAGGCATCTCCAGACATATCAACTCCTTCAAACTGATTTCCATCATCAGCCTCTAGCAACTCTGTAAAAGAAAAGTAGGTCTGTGGTTCATAATCAGTGTTTTCATAGTTGAAGTTCTCATAGTCCAATGCTGTTCCATCTTCAAAACTACCATTAGGGACATCCCACTCAGAATGAAAATTGGAAATGGTTTTTGTCTCATCAGATGTAGGTGGCTGTACAACAGGATAATCATTCCAGATAAGCCCATCATCATCCCTTTCATTCTTAATATGCCTTCTGACTGGAAGCTTTTGGGGGCCTGGCCCAAAAGGAGTGTTCCAGTCAAACTGCAATTCTTCTTGTGGCTCAGGTATTTGTTCAACTTTCGAAACAGACATAAGAAGAGGATCATCCACTGGAATGAAAACATCATCCTCCATCAGAGACATTGGAGTTGAAGGTACCGATTCAGCTTGCTCTGAAAAGGCTTCGGAAACAGAATCGGCTAGCACCGTCTCTTCCTTCGGACCTTTAATGAGTATTTTCTTTATCTGCGACTTTTTGTCTGCATATGGGCACGTTGGAGTCTTAATTCTGCGACAACGGCAACACTTATATCCCAACACATTGGAAAGTTTCGACTCGTCAAGTTCAATAGCATCAGCATGGTGCCAATCTGCAAAAGCACTTCATTATAGATTTTTACATTGAGAGAGAGAGAGAGAGAGAGAGAGAGAGAGAGAGAGAGAGGGAGGGAGGGAGGGAGGGAGGGAGGGAGAGAGAGAGAGAGAGAGAGGGGCTGCAAAGAAAAGAGAGCCTTCAGAAGCTTACTTTGGCATGATTCACAACGGATGTACATCAAATGTGGAGTGTATGGCTTCTGACACAATTGACACTCTGGGCCTACTGAATTCATACCATAAGCACCCCTGAAAAGAATATTATTAGACCGAAATTCAGATCCAGCACCATCTACAGACTTCTTCTTCCAGATGAGACCCCAGTACTGTTGTCGTTTTCGATACTTAGACAAACTAGAATCAGATGAAGCAGGTTTCTTGTCAGTCTCTAAAGTTCCAACAGGTGGCAGTACTTTGCCATTAGTTTTGGCCCTTGAACTTTTGGAGAGAGTCATAGAATTCTGATGATGTTTCAGCTTTGCACTTTTAGCAGCGGTGGCAGAATTCTGATACTCATGCCCCTGCACCACTAAAGGACTTGTTGGCGATTCAACAGAGCCGTTGTTTAGAGTAAGAGGTTTGCCACAAGAACACTGCTTGCAAGTGGTTACGAATTCAACATCATCATTTGTTAGGACAGTTGAGCTTATGGTACATCCCTTGTGGCAAAAACCTGAACAAAGAAATCACAGTCATAAGCATCAACAATATAACAATGAGCAAGTCAAAAAGGATTTCGTGCTTTAATTGAGTCATTCATAGACATCAAAGAATGTATTTTATATTGCTAGTCACGAAATAGACAACTCTTTGTGGCATGAATTAGAAATAATAGTGTCAAACTGTTAAAGGTGCCTGGAATTTGTAACTCATTTTATGTTTCAGTATGAGGACAATAAGAGATCGACAAGAAGGCGCAATCTCAAGCATCACCAATTGCCATGACATGAAATATACAATGATAAAAAAAAAAAGGACTGCTACATGGTGACATTGTAAGAGACAATGCCTTATAAATATAAAAGTACAAAATGACAGGTTAAATCATGTATGAACTTGAAATGATAAATGACAACAAACAAGGAAAATTGACAATTTTGAGACCTAAAGCAAGAAAACAGCTCAACATAGCTTACCTTCACAAGCACTGCACACAACAGAAACCCTGAAACCACAACAAAGAACTTATCATCAGTATACTAGAGCCTGTCAAAAACAACCTTAAAATGTCGAAAGACAGAGTAAAGTGAAGTGAGGAAGCTTACCCAAGTAAAACATCTCGGTGACAAGACGCACAAAAACACATTTGCAAGTCATCTATCTTTCGTGAAAGATAGAGAAATACAGCTCTCTTACGAGAAGCTTTCAATTGTCTCTTTTGATGTTTGGTATAACGATCAGGTTTCTTCGAAGGTGGCAGACAAGTTTTCTCTGCATTTTCCTCATATTCTTTAATCAGATACAAAGGAATCCGTGTTTCAATAAACCAATATTTTTCCTTTCCATCTTGGGTTTCTTCTTTCTCAATAATGCTCTTCAAGAGGCGAGAAGAAAGATGTTTCTGCTGTCCAAAGACTACTCCATACAAAATCTTATTTTCCACAATCTTCTTGCCACAGACCCGGGCATTTCTAAAAGCAAAGGCTTCTGTTTCTGGACCCTTCCCATCCTGAAGATTTTGCTCAGGACGAAGAAGATCTGTCCACTTTATATGATAATCTAAATATCTCACCTGTAGATGCCATTTTATTTCAGCTTATTGAACTACAAAGGAAAGTTAATTGTGAAATACTATAACATTACTCTCTCTTAGTCAGGAAGTAATTGTCACATGTTTTTATAGAATGTCTGGAAAAAGGTATAACGTTCCATAAAATAACAAGGGTTTACGATTTGATTTCTCGAGAAGTCAAGATAACACCCCCCCCCCCCCCCCCCACACACACACACAATTAAAAAAAAAAAAGAAAAAACAAACAGACAAACAAACAAACAAACAAAAAAACAAAAAACAAAACAAAAAAAGAGGGAATAAATGGAAAGGTGGACAGAGCAACATGTTAAAAAGGCAATTTTAGTAAAATCAAGCTATTAAAAGGCAGGTTCAAACAATGTGACAAGTACTTTCAGATGGAGTAATTTAGAAAGAGCAATAATTATTCTGTACAAAACATTAAAGATGAGTGACCTGGAGTGCAAGCCCTGATGCATTCATAGACATCTCAACAGCTGCTCTCCATAAATATTGTCTGCTTCTCTTGGGAACGTCTGATCCTTCTGTATAATATATTCCTGAAATCCTCCTTGAACCGCCTAAAGAGTGGGACAAATTAGCATTAGAGATCTGTCTGTATAACTCTCCTTAATAATGCTTAAAATCAGAAAACCCAAGAACTAAATGAGCAACTTGTTCTTCGAAAGGTATAATAATACCTTGACGAGCTGCTTTCCTAAGGACGGAACGAGGAAGTGTTGCTCTCTGGAATACAAGCTTTGCTAGCTTTCCACTCCTCCAGTTTATATCACGCGAACTGTCATTAGAGTCCTCCGTTGTAATTTCAGCTGTAGCAAGATGCTTCCTACGTTTCCCGGGACCTCGTTTCTGAATTGACGCAGTTGCACAAGCGCTTTGAGACACAGATGATTCATCCATCCAACTATCTACTAGCTTAGTCCAATCTGAAGAGAGTGCATTGACGCAGAGGTTTTCTTCTAGCTACAGTTACAAAACAAAACATAAGGTCTCATGAGTAATGGTAGATTCATAAGAGTCTTCTTGATCAAGCACTAGGGATATAAAAATATAAAATATATATATATAATGTAATGTAAAAGAACAAGACAAAATCAAGTCAAGATATCAATTCCATAACAGCATTAATTTGACAATTTATTCATAAATATCTCTTTATTTTGCTTTTTCTCCCAAATGAAGAGGATAGAAAAGATTTTATAACACTAAATATATTTAGACATAACGCTCCTGATAGCACCAGAAGCAGAAACTACATAACCATCATAAATGTTAAGCGTAAAATTCATGAATGCCTTAACGTATCAAAATCCATGTAATTACTCCGACCAATAATATAGTGCCCGCTTCTCAGTTTTCACGGGAATTAAGGATAGTGGATGCCTAAAGGAAGTTTGTAGTATTCTTCAATGTAGGGGTATTTGTAAGGGAAAGGCAAATACTAAATAATGGCATTTAATAAAAACTTAAAATATACGAGTTTTTATATGGAAAGGATGAAAAAACAAATAGTGCCACGAAATATGGGGAAATGTAGGGTTATTTAATATTGGAAACGTTAAAAAGAAAAGGTAATTGTATTACGGTAGAAGTACAAGCACAATATTTTGGGACACCCAAAAAGGAATACAAGCACCAAATGATGGGAAGGAGGGAGTATTCAGTTTTTGACAATTTAGTGGCACCTCACAGAAATCCTGTTGCTAAAAATTGAACCATAAATGTTTCCTATTGTTTCTCCCTCTTCATAAAGCCTATAATAAGATGTGGAGTCTTTAAAAAGCAAAATTAAATAGTGAGTGTGTAACCTACAAAAAATAATGGATTTAAGGGAAAAGATGACAATTGAAAAATTGCTTAGCTTGAATCCAAGCCACAAACTACAAAAAAAGGTGGGCCTTAAAGTTTAATTAGCAGATAAAAAAGAAAAAAGTTAAAGATGCAAATTTGAAAGACAAACTTACTTCAAGCAAAAGAGACTTCATTTCACTGCAGGTAGAAGCCTGCTCAACTTTCTTACGCCACAGTTTTTCATAACTTGCACTATGAAATGGTCCAACTATTAGCCCGCGCAGGCTTTCTTCCAAGTACAAGGTATATGCTGCTATACCATAAAGGCCACCCTCTACATTTTTCACCAGCCTAAGGCCAGAGCAAAACTTCATTGCTGCTCGTGTAGCATTCAGTACAGCTTGATTTAGTAAGCAAGCCTTTCTGCTACAGCCAGTGGCTTTGCAGTTAAGACACCAACTACAGCGCTCTCTTGGAATTTCAAATAATTTTTTTTCGGTACTAGGCCAGAAAAACCGAGCAGCTGCAGAAGAGAAAGCTTTTGCCTGCAGCGTAACTTTAGCAGACATGACTTTCCTGGGATCGGATGCATGAAGCTCAGAAGATTGATTTTCATCAGATGAAAGCGCCGCAAAATTAGCAGCAGCAGATGCCGCAAAGTTTCCGTGCACATAATGATTTATGTACACAAGAGGTTTAAAAGCAGATCCAATGTATAAGCAACTATCCTTCAGTCGCTGAACTGCTCTGCCACCAGGTTGATTACGATCTTCATTTCCGTGCAAATTAACATTTCCAGGCAGACAAACACCATTCTTCAGCCCTGCGCTACTGCTGTTGTACCCATAGGTGACTGATGAAATTCCCGACTTAATAGATCCATCAGCAAGCCCTTGCTTTGATGAGCAATGAAGCTCAGCATGCTCAAAAACCTTGCTGGGCATAGTTGAAAGCTCATTCATTGCAGCACCATCCATTTTTGGCACAGAAATATCTTTTTGTACTGAAGCACCCAATGAAACATCATCGCAAACAGGTGTAAAAGCACACTTTTCATTGCTTAATGCAGACACGGAATTTAAAGCACTTTCCCCTACAAAACTGGCATAGTTTTCAAGTTCACCCTTGTTAAGAACCTGATTTCCAGTCTCATCAATAAGCAACTCGAAGTCATCATCTTTCTTTTCCAAAGCCAGGGTTGTTTGACTACTTATAAGAGCTGGAAACCAAACCTGCGGCAGTTCCCAGTACTTCAATATTGCCTGACAGATGCCTGAGTAAGAAACTGCATGATACTCCGATGAACAAAGGGATGCTACAACATTTGGAATATCATTACAATTGTAGTATCTGACAAACGGCGATGGCTTTAAGGAGACTTTCAGCCTGCAATAGCAGATTTCCAAAAAAAAGGAAATACAACATTAGTTTACATATATGTATGCCGAAAAAGAAATGACGTAAGCAAAGAAAGAAAGAGCGGATATTACACCGAATTTATTTAGCTGCATAACAACTATATTGACAATGCCGCAAATCTAAATATTCTGCTTTCCTTATTCAAATTTATTAGTATTGATTGATTAAAATACTTCTCTTCTCCAACAATAAATACAAATCTAATTATTAGGTATATAATTAATACTCATACGACAAACCTTTCCTCACATATGTTCTTAATACTGGTTATATATACCATTTACAAATTTCACATCTCAAATCTAATTCACACTAGTACATGTCTATTGTTACTAATTATGTCAACCACGACAAAGTTTACTGTATATCAGTATCCATTAACACTTCAGTCTTTCATTAAATTTCAAAAACAATAAGGAAATCAAGTAGAGATACTATGGGGAGCTAAAAACCTACACCATCAAGTGATTGCAAGTACCCAAGAACAGCTGTGCATATGGATCGACACCAAAAATTTCAGCTCCTCTCAATGATGTTTTCATTGTGATGGGTGGACTGAGTCTGCTAATTTTACATTCAGGACAAAACCAGTTCCCATCAGGTATAGATAACTTGTTCACACCTATACATCTAGAGTGATAAGCTGAAGGGCAGCCATCACAGCAAAGCAAAAACCCGTCCATTCCACAAAGCCGGCACTCATCCCCATTTACATCCTCATTAATGTTATCAGGCTTGGTATCTTGATCCTTGCCCTTCACAGTCATAGAATTAGATCCAAACGAAATACTAGTTTCTGCCTCCGGAATGACATTTTCCCTGTTCTTGCTAATGGAAGTTTTGGCAGATCTGGGATACATCTTCCTAGGCCCATTCTCAAGAGGATTTGATGAAATCCCGTCGAAATCAATTCCAACTTCAGATTCCTCCCGCTCATCAATATCTGCCCTTATTTCTTCAGCAACTAGAGCATCATCACACAAAATCTGTAGAACCATCAACTTTGTCCCAATAGACAAGGTACAATAATCTTTCTGCAAGGCATCAATGTAAAAACCTTTCCACTCTTTTCGATCCAAATGCCCCATTCCCATCAAATAATGAACCAAGTAAACTGGCCAAGTCAAGATATCAAGCAAACCCCAGTCAATGCATCTGCAGAAAGAATTAGATATAACAATATGAGACAATGCATGGAGGGCAAGTAAATAATCTATAACTATAACTTTCTTGTAAAATTGTACATGTGTCACTTTACTATGTAAAGTTTTCCCGCCTAAATGCACTACTGATGTCAATATTTTATTCTTTTTCCCTCATAATTGTTTAGGTTCTATTTTTTGAAAAAGAAAAATTACAGAGCATTAATTATGATAATCTCTTCACAATTATTTAAACACATTCAAACTACCCATAACTATTCAAAATTTAGCTAAAAGTTTATATGTTCATGTTTTTTGTGTAAAAGAAATCTATCCTTAGATCAAATTGCCACTTGCTCATATATTTTAATCTTATAGATGTGTTTTTATAGCTTACCTTAATACCGGGTAGCAAGTAATAAAATTACCTTAAAAATAAAATTTCAATTAATTTTGTAAACTGTGCTCAATTAATTTTGTAAACCGTGCATTGCACGAGACTAATCTAGTTCATCTAACAAATTGACCTCCAAACAATCATACAACCTCCAGTATAAATGAATTAATGTAACTACTGCTTTTGGAAATAATAGTTAAGTTAAACAGAATGATAGGTCAGCATGTGGAGCAATTGAGCAATATAGCAATATACATTACCTCAGGCATGTTGATGCAAGCTCCGATCCATCAGAAGCTTGCGCTTCAAGATGTCGTTTCAAGGCCTTCAAGAGAGCAACATGAATAGCATCCAATAATGTGTTTGGAACAGTGCATCGAAGACAACCAACGAGATCATCCAGAGTGAAGGGGCTCAAAAACAAGTGAATGCTAAACGATCGAAGAAACCCATAAACTGAAAAAAGATGTGACACATATTCCTCTGGCACACCAACTGACCCAGAAGAAGGGGGCAATTCTGGAGGGGGAATGTCAGGGATCTCAGTCTCTGCCCTGGTGTCCCAACCCTGACCATATTCACACGAATCACTAGAAGAATCAGAAACATCGTCATCATCATCCACTTCACTCCCGCCAACCTCCTCATCAAGGCGCCCACTTGATGTTGGCACCTCAATCTTCTCTATATCATTGATCATATTTACAGAATCCGGTTTGTCAATAACATCAATTGGCTCTGCCACACTCGCTTTTACTGATTCATCTACCACCTTCCTAACATCCTCCTTTTTACGACCAATCTTACGAGCAACTTTGCGATCAGTTTTTGACTTTCCACCTGTTTTTTGAGCAACATTCTCATCTGTTTTCGACTTCACATCAATTTTTTGAGCAACATTCTCATCCAATTTCTTCTTCCTCTCCAACAACTCACCCACAAACTTCTGACGTTCATCCCCAATCAAAAACTCACGCAATTCCCCACTATCCAAATCCTCAAAATCCCCATCTTCATAATCAACCCTATACAATCCAGAATCATAGGAAACAATTTTACCTAAGAAAACACCATTGCCCTCAAAATCCTTTAATACATAACGTCCAACTACTGCATCCCCCTTAACCTCGACGGCCCGCCTCTTCGGAGGCCGGCCTCGTTTACGAAAATTCCCGGCATTCTTACCATCCTCCCCTTCATTACCACCATTACAATCACCATTACTATTTTCCACCAAATCCTGCACATTTCCTTCACCATCAACATTCTCCCCATTTTGCCCATCTCCCCTTCTCCGCTTTCTCGGCCGACCCCTCGGCTTACCCCCAGAACATTCCATCCCAACAATCCCAATCCCTAACACAATCTAGGGTTTCAAACAAAAAATCAAAATCGAACCTTTTAATCGAATTACACTATATATCGATTCGGATCCAACAGATCCTGAAACATCAAAAATCAATCAAATTCAACCAAAATTAAGCACAAATTCAGGAAAACAATCAAAAAAGGGGAGATGAAAAATTCAGCAAAAAAGGGGAAAAAAACAGTTGTTGTAGTTTCGAAAAAAGAGGGGGCATACCTTGATGTTGTTGTTGACTAGATGTCGAAAACCGCCATTGAAGGATTGATTGGGAAGAGAGAGAAAGATAAAGGGGTAATTGTAGAGAGAGAGGTGGTGTGAAGTAGGAAGGACTCTGTGGAAATTTTTTAGCCCTAATTTTAAATTTTTTTAATTTATTTTTTGGAAGACACTACTTTGAATTTGGACTCTCATTTTTATTTTTACACTGAGTTGTGGTTTCCTGGTTGACTCGGTAAGTCAATCTTATCAACTCGACCCGGCTCATGGGCTCATGGCTCACATCATCAAATCTACTACTTGTACTAGCCTACTAGCTACTTTATTTTATCCTTTTTTTTAGAATATCTTTTTTTTTGGGAATAAATTAGTTTAGACAAAATAATTACCATGTTTGGTAAATGGTTTTTTGATGGCTTTTTGGTTAGGTTTTGACTTTTGGTTTTTTTATGTAGTCAAACAGTCAAAAAAATGTGTTTGGTAATTGGTTTTTTTGTCAGCGAAAAAGCTAACTTTTAAGCCAAAATGAAAAAGCTGCTTTGAGTAGCTTTTTTTTGTTGGCTTTTGGCTTGTTGGCCCACATCTAATAAACAGCCAACAGCCAACAATTAATTTACCAAACACTTTTATATACAGCCAGCTTAAACAACTAATTTCAAAAGCCATTATAAACAGCCAAACATTCCAGCTGGTCAAACAAGCCAAGTGAATCAGCCAACAACCATTTGCCAAACAAGGCCAATACTTCGTATTAAATAGTTACTTCCTCCGTTCTTTTTTACTTGACCCGTTTTGACTTTTACACTTTTCATCACCCTTTCTTTGACCGTCTTTTGTAAATAATATGTAATGAAAAATATATTCATATAAGATCTTTTTGAATTCGTCTCAATAAGTACTATCATAATATATAAATTTTAAAATTTTTACTTATAGAGAATTAAATTGATCGTTAAAATTTTGCATTGGCAAACGTGATAAAATAAACAAGTCAAGTAAAAAAAAAAAACAAATGAAGTATTCAATAAATATCGGATAAAATATGTTTTAAGGAAATAAGTTCGAATGAATAATAAGTTTTGGAAATTTATTAAGACAACAAAATAGATTAAAAAAAAAGTAAATTCTATCATATAAATCAAACAGAGTATTGGTATTCTCTCCGACATTTAAAAACTATTCCAAACTTACAATTGCATCTGTTGCACTTTTGGGATTTCGATTCCTTGATTAGTTCTACATTATAGAATTTTTATTTTTATTTATAGAATTTTTATTTATATGTAAAGAAAATTATGGTATGACCATTCGTCTAAAGTAGATACTTTCATTCTATTGATTTTTTACACTGTTTAGTCTTATGTCGTATACATGGTCTTATGTGGAAATTGATGAATGATGAGATTTATAATTTTGGAGCAATTATATTAGTTTTTTTGGTATTTGAAAAATGCTCAAATAGATGATTCAAATTAGATTTTGGACACCCTTTTGGAATTTAAAAAATAGGTGACAAATAGCTTATGGGAGCTTTGTAAGCTGAGTATAAAAAATTGTTTAATAACATAGTTTATCCTGAGAGATGTGGTGATCAATTCTTGCAATCAGTTAAAACTTGATGACAAAGTTATATGCACACACAAGCTAATTGAATTGGCCTCAACAAATAAGCAATGTAAGAATGCAATTGTGTCGTTATTTTTTTTTTTTTTTTGGTGACATGGGCTTAACACACCAACAAACTAAACAACAATAAAATTAAATGACGATAATCTATGATTTGTTGTGGTAGCAAGAAGAGCCCTATTGACTCAGTCCTTCAGGACATTGTGTATACTACACCAATCAAAAGTCGTACTTAGTTATCGGATTTTGTATCCACCGTCCACTTGAGACTGACATCTTCACCACCGTTTGCCCTAAGAATACAAACCAAAGATGTTGAGTCTGTGTAAATTGTAGCAGAATGCAGTAACTGTTGACAATTTGTCATGGTCTTTTTATGGACTGTAATTAATGAGTCTACGGCTTTTTCCTATTTTGACTTTTTTCATGGGACAATCACTATTCAAATAAGAAAAAATTATAATAAGGATAGACAAATGGGGTAACATGATATCATTGATATGCTATTATTAATTATTATCTACTATATACCCCTATTCCTCAATGACTCCAATTTATTCACTTATTTCATGATCTTTTTATTTATTTGTTATTTCAAATCTGGCCAAAAAGACTACAAAAAAGAAAAAAAACAAGTATGTATGTACTATATACCCCTATTCCTCAATGACTCCAATATATATATATATAGGAGAGTTTTTTCCCGAGTTTTTAGAAAGCCACGTAGGATTTAATTTTTTCAGCGCACTTATGTAGGATAATAAATTTTAGTGGTAGCCAATTAAATACGGAAATATTAATTTATGTAAGAATTAAATAATTTAGATGCCACGTAAGCAAAATTGACGAATGGGTTTTTTCAGTATAAATTAATCAATAACATAATACTAAAGGTGAATCTGACATGACACTTGTCATGTTATGATTAAAAATTTTCCCGCCATTTTTTTACTTTCCTTTCTTTTTTTTTTTTTTTACAAATCTTCGTGAATATTAATTTATATATATTAGAATATTTTACCTTCAATTTGGCAACTATATTATATACAAAGTATATTCTATATGCATTCAATGATAATAATATTTTAACCTATCTTACATTATTTTATAATAGGTATTTTTTTTCTAAAATAAACAAACATATTCGAAGTAATATATTACAATAATAATGTACTACTCCGTATCATTTTGTATTGTATTTTTTTTTTGGAAGTTTTTTTTTTTTTTTTGCTCCAACCTGGATTGACTCTTTAACTTTTATTACGAAGTATATATTTGTTGATTTATTTATAATAATAACACTAAAATTCAATAAATAAAAATATAAAATAAAAATAAAAAAACCTTGATTATTAATTATCACAAAAAAAAGTCAATTAAATTTGTATAAAACATTATATTGGTCAAAGTAAGCTATAAAACATTGTGCCGGTCAAAACATGCCAACAAAATTAGGACGTTGAGGTATGTACATTGCACATGTTCCTCTAAAAAAAGTACATTGCATGGGTTATAATTAATAACATAAAATTTAATTCTTATGTAAAATCCTATTGTGTTTTTTAAAAAAACAAATGTTTAATGATCAATAACTTTTGACATCAATATAATATTAAACTCAAGTTTTGTTTTCCCTTTTTTATTATTATTATTATTATTATTATTATTATTATTATTATTTGTTTTTTTATTAAAGAAATTAAAATATCTATTTCAAGTTTTTGTTAAAGTAATATTGTAAATAAAAATTAGGTTAAGTAAAAACCGTACATTGCACGGGACTTAAACTAGTTAAATATAAAATATTATATATATATATATATATATATATAATATATATATATAAATCGCAGTTAAAATTTATTTATATGATATTAGGTTGCCAATAATGGCCCTAACAAAGTATGTGAATATATATCACTATTATGCTACTGAAAAAAGAGGAAATTCTAATCTAATTTTATTAAGATCATATCACATGCACAAATCCTTATTAAAGACTTTATGATGAGTAGCAAAATCAGTATATATAATGCATTTCAAATTTATGTATGAACAGGCCAAAGTTCATAAACGTTAAAGGCTGATTAATATATTAGGTTAGAAATAATACTCCAAGCAGCTCACTAAGGCCTCATTATGTTCAATTTATTTCCACTCTTTAAATTTTAAGGAAATATACATTCATGTATAGAGGGTTTATAATTTCAAATGTTAAAGAATACGTTCATGAAATATAAGTTTTGATAAGAGATAATTAGCTAGTATAGGATTGTTAAAGTTCAATCTACAACTAAAATAATTAAGTGTAAATTTAGTAAGACTAAACAAATTCATTTAGTATTAAATAAGTGGAAATGAAGTAAAAACACAATTATTATAAGTTTAGATAACACACAATAATGTATACAAACCAAAATTTAAATCCGACAAAATACAATTTAAACACAATCATATAAATTAGGAGACATGCATTCTTGTTATAAAATCTACTTCCTCTATTTTTAAAAAAAATGCAACACACTTACTTGGCACGTGTTGTAAGGAGTTGTTTAAAGTAGGTAAACAAGCGATTTTATCAAATACTTTGTACACCAAGGTTAGAGATTTTGATTAACTTGTGCGTTTACATTGTCTAATCTCTTTTCAAAGTGAGTGCTGGAAATGTGTTGTATTTGAAAATAGTAACATAAGAAACATGTAAAATAGAAACATGTAAAATAGACAAATTATTACTCCTTCCATTTTTAAATACTTGATCCATTTCTCCTAGACGACATGTATGCCGATGCAAATCTTTGATTAATTATATCTTTAATTAATTATTAATAAAAAATATCTAACAATTGAAAATTAATAATATATTCATTGAGACTATTCCAACAAGTACTCATAAGACTATATTTACTCTTATGTATAAATTAGAAACATTAATCTAAGTAGGATAAATGAATAGTGCAAAATGTAGAATGGATCAAGTCACTAAAAACATAGGACGAACCTTAGTTTTTTTTTTTTTTTTTTTTTTTTGAGTTAATGGTTCGTCTATTTAAACCCAAATCATAATAATTTTTTTTACTCACTCCGTTTTTAATTACTTGCTACACTTCTCCTAGGCACGTATGTCGGTGTTAATCTTTGATCAATAATATCTTTATTTAATTTATTAATAAGTATAATTTCTAACAATTGAATATTAATAATCTATTCATTGATACGATTCCAACAAGTACTCACAACACTATATATTTTCTTACGTATAAATCACAAACATTAGTCAAAATAGGACAAATGGATAGAAAATTGAATAGTGCAAAAAGAAATAGTGGAGCAAATTATAAACAAATGGAGGGAGTATTGTTCTTTACACTTTTATTTTAACTATGCGCACACATAGTTAGCCATGTTCGGGAATCTCTTTCATTTTTGTGTTATGTCACAATCTTAATAGTTGATAATATTACTAAGGGAAAATTCATAAATAAATTTTTTTTAGGGGTATAAGTGTTCAAACACTATTATTAAGAGTTTAATAAAAGAGTTAACTAACATTAATAAGTATAAATAAATAAGTAAAGAAACAAATCAAACAGTATGACTGTCCAAGCACTATTAGGCCCTATTCTTTATAGATGCTCTTCCCTACTGAAATTTACTCTGCTTTGCTCTAGTGAAATCTCCTTTGCTGAAATATGCTCTGCCCTTCTTTGCTTAAAACTAATTATTTATAATAATTAAAATTTAATAAAAATAAAAATAATTAATATTTATATATAATATTAGTTGATGATAATAATAACTAATATTTAATGGTAATAATTCATATTTTATAATAT